GCCCCCGCACAAGCCTCCCCTCCTCCCCCTCCGCTCCCCTCGCCCGCCCCTGCCCCTCCCGCGCAAACGTCCCCCTCCCGCATCGACCCCCTCCCCCATCCCCTCCCCCGCCGCCTCCTTCGCCTCCGCATTCGCCGCCGCCTCCCCCGCCGCCTCCTTTGCCTCCGCATTCGCCGCCGCCTCCGCCGCCGCCTCTTCCGCCTTTTCCGTCTCCCCCGCCGCCGCCTCCCCCGCCGCCTCCGCCTCCGCCTCCGCCTCCCCCGCAGCCTCCCCCGCCGCCGCCTGCCCGCCCCTGCACACCGCCCACGCCGGCGGCGTCCACCGCTCAAACGCCACCGGGGACGTCTGCCGGCTCGGCGGCGCGGCCGGCGCATGGCGCGCCACGCCGGCCTCCCTCAGACTCTGAGCCTATCAATGAATAGCGAATCCGTTCATACTCAATTCATGACTCAACACGCCAGCGTCCGTCAGACTCTGAGCCGTGAGGGGCGCCCTGCAGACCGGGCACGGCAGCGGCGCCTGAGAGCAAAAGGTGCGGAGGCTGCAACAGGGACGCCGCGAGAGGTGAGACCTCTGCTTCACTGGCCGAGAGGGGCCGAGAGGGGCCGAGAGGGGCCGAGAGGGGCCGAGAGGGGCCGAGAGGGGCCGAGAGGGGCCGAGAGGGGCCGAGAGGGGCCGAGAGGGGCCGAGAGGGGCCGAGAGGGGCCGAGAGGGGCCGAGAGGGGCCGAGAGGGGCCGAGATGTGGGCCGGGATCAGGCCGAGAGACGGCCGAGAGACGGCCGAGAGTGGCCCAGACTGATCGAGATATGGCCGAGATTGTCCGAATCGCAGCGGCGCCTCCTCCTCGATGGCGCTCTGCTGCTCCGCCGCCGCCGCCGCGACCCTCGCCAGCTCCGCCGCATGCCTCTCCGCCCGCGCGCGCCGCTGGGCGAGGGCAGCACGAGCCGCCTCGGCCGCCTTCGCCTCCTCCTCCACCTTGCGCACCTGCGGTGTGCAGGACACACGTCGCTCATTTCGGCTGTGACCACGGCGGCGCTCTGAGCTCACCGAGCCCGCCCTGCGAACGCGCGCGCCAACGCGGCGGCAGGGGAGGCGGCGGGAGGGAGGGTGGAGGCACACACACGGCCTGGGCCAGTCTTCCCCATCTAGAGTTGCGCACTGCGCCGGGCGGCGGCGGCGGGTCGAGCGAGCAGAGCTGCGCAAGGCGGGAGGAGAGCGCCTGCCGACAGACGGACCTCTCGGCTGTCTCTCCGCCGCCTCTCCGCTGCGTCTCTCGACTGCAGCTCCGCCGCGCGAGGCGGGAGGCGAGAGAGAGAGAGAGAGAGAGAGAGAGAGAGAGAGAGAGAGAGAGAGAGAGAGAGAGAGAGAGAGAGAGAGAGAGAGAGAGAGAGAGAGAGAGAGAGAGAGAGAGAGAGAGAGGCGAACGCCTCAGCGGCGGCGGCGGCGGCGGCGAGCTTCGCGCTCAGCTGCCGCGCGTCCGCCTCCGCAGCGCGCGCAGCCGACGCGTGCCGCTGCGCCGCCGACGGCAGGGCGGCGGCGTCCGCCTGTCCGCAGCTAGATGCGTGAGCAGGCAGGATGCAGCCGAGAGGCAGCCGAGAGGCAGCCGAGAGGCGGCCGAGAGGCGGCCGAGAGGCAGCCGAGAGGCAGCCGAGAGGCAGCCGAGAGGCAGCCAAGAGGCAGCCGAGGTGCAGCCGGGAGGCAGCCGGGAGGCAGCCGAGGTGCAGCTGAGAGGCAGCCGAGAGGCAGCTAAAGTGCGGGCGGCGGCGTCCGCCTTTGGCGCCGGCGCGGCGAGCCACCAGGCGCCGAGACAGACGCCTACTCGTGGCCTCTGCTCTGAGCATGCCACCTCAGCCGCCAGGCAGCTCGGCTCGCCGACAACAGAGAGGACAGTGGAAGGAGTGGAAGCAGGCAGAGACGTAGGTCGGCGGCGGCGGCGCCGCGCCACGCGGAAACAGGTCGTCGCGGCAGATTGGGCAGTCTCCCCCGGCGTTCAGCTCGGTGAGCTTCTCGATCGCCGCCTCGACAAGCGCATACACACACGACTCGCCGCTCGACGCCGCCTCCGCGGCGAGCGCGGTGAGAGCGGCGAGGAGCGCTGCCTCTTCGTCGCCGACCATGCCGCGGGAGCGCGAGAGGCGACATACCGCCGCGGACTCGGGGTACGCCTGCGATAGCTCAAGCGCAAGCGTCGCCTCCATGAGCCTCCTCCGCTGCTCGCCGCCGCTTGACGGGCGCAAGCGGACGGAGATCGTCGCGCCGCCACCCGTCGGCCGCTCGACGACAAGCTCGTCCTCGTCGCTGCTGAACATCGCGCCGAGCAGCTCGAGCTCGTCCTCCATCGTGCGTGCCTCGCACTCGGCGTGGGGGAAGGGACCAGAACGACAGTCGTGGTGAGGGCAGGCCTGGAAAACTGGTGTGGGCTGGCGAGTGAGGGCTTGGGCCGAATTTAGGGCGCTGTTGAGGCGTGAATCCGTTAGGATTCTCGCCCGCTCTGCTGAGGGGAGGGCTGTCGACTGGGCCGGTCGCTCGACCCGATTCTACTCTACTATCAGTCTTACCTTTCATGGACAATAGTGTCTGTGACGGCGGTGACATTCACAGCGAGGTCAGTTCACAGCCGAGCAGCCGATCCTGATCACTCACTCACTTCAGTGTATGTGGCTCTTGCAAATGGAAGAAAGAATTCAGAAGAAAGAAAGAAGGGACGACTCACCCAACCCACCCACCGCGCAGGATGGACAGTACAAAGCGTACACACTTCGCGCACATATATAACGGTGCACAATTTTTTATTTCATCGTCATTTGCCTGTTCCCCCCACCCCATAATGGTGGAAACACAGCTCGCAGCCATCTTTCTCGACGTTGACGGCGTCATCGACAGTCGGCGCATCGGAATGCTCGACGTCAAAAAAGTCGAGCGCCTCCGCCTCGCGGCCGCCGCAGTCCCCGGCTGTGTCGTCGTCATCTCCTCGCACTGGCGGCTCGTGCCGAAGCAGTATGCGTCGCTGGTGGCCGCACTGAGCTGGTACGGACTGCACGTGATCGGCATGACGCCCTGCCCGTTTCCGCCGTGGCTCACCAAGCGGCCGGTGGAGATCTTACTGTGGCTGCGCGCGTACAATCTGGCGTGCTCGGCCAACGGCACGCCGCAGATTGGCGCTTTTGTGGCCATTGACGACCGCGATCTGCTCGGAGAGGATGGCGGCGACGAGCTACGCGGCCGATTCGTCAAGACATCCCTCCTCGCTGGGCTGGTTGACGCCGACGTGCCGCGCATCGTCGAGGCCCTTAGCCCCGCCTCCCCAAACCTTCCGCCCGTGCCGGGCCTTGAGGCGGCCCCGCCGCCGCCGAGCGTCGCGCTGCCATTCACGGTGGCGCTGAGCCGGCCGGCTGGCTCAAAGGGCACCGGCTACACGTGCACGGTGCAGCGCACCGTTGACGCGGCGCCCACGCCAGATGCTTGAAGTAACACAGCCCCCCCAAGACTTTCGAGATGACACTGTATCAGCACCGTATTCGCCGTATTCAGCTTGCATGAACACACGACACCATATACAACATGTGTTTTCATGCCGTAGGCCCCCAAGACGCGGCCCACGATACTCGTCGACGACGCGGCGGAGGAGGGGCAACCACTCGCCAACGAGCGGTGGCTCTCGCTATGGCGCCACCGGCAGACGATTATTCGCAACACCGCCACCCGCCTTTCGGTGTCGCGTTCGCGCCCCTCCTGTGACGGTGGCGGCGGGGGCGACGGCGGCAGCCACGAGGCGACCGCCATGAGCAGCGCGCTGCAGGTGGAGGTACTGCCAGAGGTCCTCGGCCGCGGTGGATTCGGCGTCGTGCGCCGTGGGCGGCTTCAGCGGGCGGCCGCGGGCTCGGGCGGCGCCGGAGCCGGAGCAGTCGACGTGGCAGTGAAGGAGGTCGACCTGGCGGCGCTGATGGCGCGCGACGCAACCTCGGAGGAGACGCTGCTGCGCGAGGTGGCGCCTTGCGTACACACACACACACACACACACACACACGCACACACACACACACACCGCTCCGACGGCACGAGGCTTTGGCACTCTCTGTGTGGCGACGACCCTACCGTACCTAAGAACCTCGCCTCAAGGTGCGTCTGATGGAGGGGCTGCGCCATGAGGGCGTGCTGCGGCTGTACGGCTGGCGGCGCGAGGGCGGCGTGTGGCCGTCATACTACCTCGAGCCGCCTTAATAGTTGATCTGTGGATTCATCTGTCATGAATCCAACACCAGGCGTGGTCTTCCTCTACCTCGAGCTCTGCCGCGGGCCGGAGCTGCAGCAGCTGATCGACGCGCGCGGCGCACTGGCGGAAGGAGAGGCGCGGCTCTTGGCGCGGCAGATGATCGGTAAGGGACACTTCCGAGACACCTCCACTCTCTCGGGGACACTTCTGAGACACCTCCACTCTCTCCGCTAGCGGCACTCCTCTACCTCCACTCCCGGGGCATCATCCACCGCGACGTCAAGGCGGCGAACGCGATGCTCGATCGCCCACTGGACGACCTCAAGCAAACGCCGCTCGACGGGTGTGTCGTCAAGCTCCTCGACTTTGGTCTTGCGCGCCAGCTGCCGCTGCAGCAGCGGCAGCCAAGCCGCCGCCGCTCGCTCCGGCGCGACGCCCACGCTCTTCTCTGCAGCCGGGAACATGTCTTCTTACCTCCACAGCTGCGAGCAGGCGCCGCTCGTCGGCGCGGACGAGCGTCATACACACCTTCCAACCCGGGGACGCGTTCGCGAGCGTCGTGTTCGCCGCCGCTTCGCCCGCGCACGGCACGTCGCCCGCCGACGCGGATGGGTCCGCCTTGAACTTAAAGGCCTCAGCGTCGGCCTCGGCCTCGGCCTCCAAGGCTTCGGGAAAAGAAGCAGCGCCGCCGGTGCTCCCCTTCACGAGGTGCAGGCGTTGCACGAGATAACCCGAGGCCACACCCGAGATTGCCCGAGATTAGGTGGTGCTGCACGACCACGAGTTGCCGGCGCTCCACGAGATGTCGCTGGTGGGCACGCGCGGCTACGCGCCGCCGGAGGTCGTGCATTAGCAGCGGTCGTAACATCAGTAAAGCTCTACGCCCAACGTCAAGCGAAGGGACTGGGCTAGTTCTAATCCACACGGGACTGGCCGCATGTCGGCTGCCTGCCACCTAGGTCGCCAACCTGGCGCCGGGCAAGACGTCGGCGCAAATGAGCTTCGAGGAGGCGACGCCGATAGTGATTAGTGGTGGGCAGCCTCAGTTCAAACGATCGCGGCACGCCGCACACCACTGCACACCACCGCACACCGCACGGATACCCACAAGCAATGGCACGAGAGACTGACGAGAGACGTGGCCTAGCTGTACTCCAGGCGACGCTGATCGACGCGTACGCGATGGGCAAGCTGCTGCGTTACCTGCTCACCGGCGTGCCCGCCGAGAAGAGCGTGATGGAGGTGCTCGAGGCACAGGGCGCACTCGCCGGCTGCTGCGGCGGCGGCGGCGGCGGCGGCAGGGTCGTCGAGCCAGAGCATTTGAGCGCGGGAGCGCGGGCGCTGGTGGAGGGTCTGACTGAGGCGCGCGCAGAGAGGCGGGTAGCGCTGGCGACTGCGGAGCTCGACGCGTGGCTGGTGGCGGAGTGAGGTCGCGGTGGTCGCTGGCGAGGTATCCCCTCGCTTCGGGGGGCGAGGATGAACCGACGAGATGGACTGCTGTCCTGTCCTGATGCCCGGTGAGAGCTCGGTCGGAGTGGGAGAGTGAACTCTGTCCACAGCTGCCCGGTGTACAATATCATGCCATGTGGGAGCTGGGAGGCGTGTGCATGTGCAGATGGAGAGAGGAGTCCTGCGCACCCAGTGGCATGAGAGGCTTTCCATTCGCCTCGCAGTCCAAGATGGCGGCCCTCGCGTGCTCTGTTTTGTCGCTTGGGTCACGTCTGCTTATCCGTGTCTCTGTCTTAGTCGTCGCCGCGCGAGGCTGGGTGCGTTTGCTTGGTTTGTGTCTCCCCGTGAGCCTGGGGTGGTTGGTTGGGTGGGGCGTGGCCGTGGGGGGAGGGGGGTTCGGTCGGTCGGTGTGTGGGTTCCTCGCCTCACTCATATCAGCCAGGCCTGGGGTGGAGGGAGGGTGGGTGGGTCCAAGCCTCAGCCGGACCGTGAGGTGGGTAAGGGTTGCTCAAGAAGCTCGTGCGCGTGAACGGACGTGTAGCACCCACCCGGCACCGACGAGGGGTTACGCCCCCTGGGTGATATGCTCTCGCTCCTGCCGGCTGTCGCCAGCGGCGCCTCGTACACCTCCACGCTCATAGGCACGTCGTGGCGCGCTCGAGCGAGGGTCGTGGATGCCGAAGAACATCAAAGGCTGGGGTGGGTCGGGCGCGAGGGTGGTTGTGTCGGCGCTGGTGGACTTCGAGGCCGAGCCCGCAAATGAGGCAGAGGAGCTCGTGGGACCACGCAGTCAGACGCGCGTGCTAAACGCGAGAGGTGGCGGCAAGATAGTGACGTTTGACGGCGAGCAGGCGGTCGACTTCACATCAGGCGGGTGGTGCGTGCAGCGGCCGCTTGGCGCGCAAGCAGGCTCGGACGAGGGCGGCTCGAGCTCGGGCGAAACGAGGAGCGACGTCCATTTCTGGTACCTCGAGCCCAGTGCGCACTGTGGGAACGTGATCATGCGAGCGCCGGTCCGCTGGACGAGCTCGACCACCTCGGGGACGAGCCACAGCGGCGCGTGCGACGCGAACTTCGCCTGATACAGCGGCCCGTCGCCTCTGTCTGGCGGATTCTCGATGATGAAGGTCGCGCCAGCGTCGGCGAGGGCTTGCGCAATCAGCACGGTACGTCTCACGAGCAAATTGGCGACGGCGAGCTTGTACACACAAATACGCTTGTATCCAGCCTGAGTCCAAATACACAAAATACAGACTTAGCATCTAGGGCTCCTGCTGTGTGGATCTACTCTCACTCGCTGGGGTCTCCTCTTGATAGTGTCATAAGTGTGGCTGGTGTGTGTCAGAGGATGAGAGCACCCCGACAGCACCACCTGACAGCACCTGACAGCCCGGCCCTAGCTACGTCTGACAGCAGCAGCAGCCGCCTGACAGCTTTGACAGGCGCAGCTCCGACAGCATCTTACAAAGCAACACCTGACAGCTCCGACAGCACCAGATCCCCGACAAGCATACAGCAGCACCCGACAGCACTGACAGCACCTGACAGCTGTCTGTCAGAGGCACCTGACAGTGCCTGACAGTGCCCGACAGCCTGACAGATCACCTGACAGTACCTGACAGCCTGACAGCCAGGGCTCAGTCGCCACGTGGAAGTCTATCGAGCTCCCTGCTTGCCCCTGACAACCCACCCCTGTTGCGCATGGTGGTAGCACACCCACGCCCCTTTCGAGAGACTACGACCTGAACGTAGCGCCTTAGAACGCTCGGCCATCCGTCAGTTTGTGCTGTGAAATCGAGCGAGATCGGGCGACTCATATACCGTGAGGAAAATTTGCAGCAAACCCTGTTGGAGGAGATAATTGTATGATGGAAGTGAGAGGGTCTGACAGCCTGACAGCAAACCTGGACAGCGCCTGACAGTGCCCGACAGCCCGACAGCTCTCACAGGGCAGGGGCGGCTCAGGATCACAGACACCCCTCTCAGGTGTATGTATGTAGAAAGATGAACAACAGTCAGGCTCGGACTGGACACCAACGCGGTATGGGTGGACGCGAGACATATGATGACGACACGCACGAGCGACACAAAGACACAAACAGGCTCACAAGACACACAGGACACAGCCAGCTGGCTGCCACACACCCTGAGTTGGCGTACACATAACTCAGGGCCACATTCTCCCTATCGCCCCCCCCAGCACTCCCAGGTGCCAAGAGAAACAAACAAGGGCACAACAAGGTAGGTAGGTAGGTAGAAAGGTGAAGAACAGCCAGGCTCGGACTGGACACCAACGCGGTATGGGTGGACGCTAGACAGATGATGACGACACGCACGAGCGACACACAGACACAAACAGGCTCACAAGACACACAGCCAGCTGGCTGCCACACACCCTGAGAGTAGGCGTACACATAACTCAGGGCCACATCCTCCCTGTCGCCCCCCCCAGCACTCCAAGGCACCAGAAGAACAAACAAGGGCACAACAAACAACAGACAACAGGAAGTGACATGCGAGGCTAGAGCAGTCTTGCTCTACCTCCAGCAATCTCGCCGGCCGGCGAGGCACGGACGAGACCGTGTGTGGGGTCATGTGAGGTGTCTATGGACGCTCTCCTCAGAGGCTAGCTGCCTGCGGCTAGCCCTATCTCGCACTCACGGGCAGTGACAATTCAATGGGTGAGTGTTTGCGAGCAGAGGCGCGTGGGCTAAATCTAGGCCGCACGTCGTGGCACTATGACGAAGGTAGACGTGCGGCCGCAGCGCGCCCGCCGCAGGCTCGGCGGTGCGCGCGTGTTAGCGAGAAAGTTGCGGGTGGAGCCATGCCCGACTTTTCGAAGGTGAGGCCTCTGCGACGAGTGCCAGCCGCGCTGCGGAGCCACACCCTTCGAGCCGCGTCCCGTCGGCACTGTCCCTGGTGCGTCCCGCCTTGGCGGCACACACTCTCGACGAGGACAGTCCTGCTGACGAGAACGTGTCGCGCGCCGGCGACGATTGCGGCGTGGTCGTTGTGAAGCGAAGACGGCACGACCACCGCCCTGCTTCGCAGACCGGGCAAGGAGGGGCCTGCTCCCGTTCCGCGAGGAACAGGAGGTTTCCCCCCCTCCCCCGGCCTGAGCAGCGGCGGATGGAAGGCAGCCCCTTTTGAGTCGAGGGCGGCGCGACCATTGCCGAGCTCCAGCGACCAAAGGCCCGGGCGTCTGCTGATGGTCGCGCCGCCCCGCTCCGCCCCGCCCGCCGCCGCGCCGCGCCGCCGCCTCGCGCAGCCGCCGCACAACAAACAGGATCCACGCACCTCACCCCTAGCGACAAGGAGCCCGAACCCTTGCCACCCCGTCTCTCCGAACACAAAAGCCTCTGTCGACCTCTTGGCTGCCGCTGAGCCTTTCGCGAAGAATTGGCAGCGCTGTGTCGGCTCAGGCCACATGCTCTTGGGCACGCGAGCCGACTGGCAATCACAGCTCGCGCTGGCGGTGAACGAGCTCGGCTTCGGCGCTATCCGCGGCCATGGCCTGCTCGACGACGATATGGGAGTCCTGCCCGCTAAAGGCCGCCTCGAGTTTTACAACGTCGACCAGGCGCGCACACGCACACGCACACACGCACGCACACACATGCGAGCGACCGGTAAGTCGTCGTCGCCCGGCGCTGCTTGCAGCACCATGGCGATGGCGCTAAGAGGTTCCTCTTTTCCGCGCCCCCCCCGCAAGGCGCGCGATACACACGACCGTGCAGCCAACGGTGCTAGGTCTTCGACGCCGTGCACGCCCTCCGCCTCCGCCCCGTCGTCGAGCTCTCCTTCACGCCCGCTGCCCTTGTTGCCTGCGGCAAAGCTGGCGAGCAGCCGTGCGACTACGCGTTCGGCAAACGATTAGGAGACTGCACTGAGACAGAGGAGGCACCGTCCGTGCGAACACACCGCTCACCACGCCACGCCACACCGACGAGCCGACACAGCTCTCCACAACCACGTCTTCGGCTCCTCCTTAGGCGGCAGCGGCGCCTACAAGGGCCTCGCCATGCCGCCCGACTCGTTTGCCGAGTGGGAGGGCCTCGTCGCTTCCGTCGCGGAGCACCTCGTTGGTCGGTACGGCCTCGACGCGGTGAGCGAGTGGCACTTTGAGGTTTGGAACGAGTTGTGGGGCGTCCCGTTCCCCGAGCCGTACATGCGGCTGTACAACGCCAGCGCGCGTGGCCTCAAGTCCGTCTCTCCGCGGCTGAGAGTCGGAGGGCCGGCGACGATGGCGCTGGAGGAGGTGGAGCCGTTCGTCGCCGCGTGCCGCGCGAGTTCAACGCCAGTGGACTTCGTGAGCAGCCACCTGTACCCCACCTCCCCCATCTGCGACACCAACGCGACGGCGCGCGACCCGGACTGCTTCGCGCACAAGGCGCTCTCGGCGGCACCTCGGCGGCATCTCGGCTGCACCTCGGCTTCACCTCGGCGGCACCTCGGCGGCATCTCGGCGGCATCTCGGCTGAGTCTCGCCGGCTGCTCCGCGCACAAGGTGCTCTCCGCGAGCGACGCTGTCCACAAGGCTGGCCTCCCTTTCTTCCTCACCGAGTACAACAACGGCCTCGGCGACTCCTCGCGAGACGACGCCTCCGCTGCCGCCTTTGTCGTCCGCAACGTCGGCCTGCTCGCTTCCGTCGACCTCGTCTCGTGGTGGAGCTTCTCAGACATTTTCGAGGAGGCGTGGATGGCATCGGCACCCTTCCACAACGGCTACGGGCTGATGACCGTACATGGCATTCGCAAGCCAGCTTGGCGCGCGTTTGAGATGCTCGCTTCCCTCGGTGACTACCGCCTGCCCGTGTCCGGAAACGTCTCGCCCGCAGATGGCTCCTCGACCGTCTCGCTGCTGGCGACGCGTCCGCAGGGCAGCGGCGGAGGCGCGCTCAAGGGGCCGCTCGGCGGGAGCCGGCGCCTATGGGACGCAGCGGGCCAGAGCCAGGGGCACGTGGTCCTCCTCCTCTCCAACTTCCACCGCAACCGCTCCGCTTGCACTGCGCAAAACGTCAGCCTCGCCGTCATCCACCGGAGCGACGCAACCCTCCCGCCCACCGCCCGCGCGTTCCGCGTCGACGAGGCGCACGCCAACCCCCTCGCGGAGTGGCACCGACAGGGGCAGCCCATCTACCCCGACAGCTCGCAGCTGTCGAAGCTGCACGACGCGTCGCGAGTGCGCTTGGCGGAGGCGGTGCCGCTCCATCGCCTCAGCCCCACGCAGAGCGTGATGCACTTTACGATGCCGCCGTTTTCGGTGCTGAAGCTAGAGCTGTGAGTGGTGTGTCACTGTGATCTGTGTGTGACTCCAGCGCATACACGGCATATACACGATATAGGGGTCGCCGAGTCTCTCGAGCCTGGGCCAGGGTTCGGTACCGGGCAGGGTAGGGTACCCTACCCCCAACGGAATTAAATCCAAGCGTGACACGCAGGGTTCGTGTACTGGGTACTGTAGGGGGTGAGGGACGGCCGAGTACCACTCCTAACCCTAACCCTAGGGAGGGACAGTGTCACACCCGTCCTAACCCTAACCCTAACCCTAACCCTAACCCTAACCTGGATTCGTGTACTTAGTAGTGTAGGGGGGGAGGGGACGGCCGAGTACCAATCCCGCAATCCGTGTCACGCTCCTTGATGACAACCCGGGCACTTGCGATCTCGCCCATACGAGATTGATGCGAGCTCACACGAGCTCATCTCGTGCCACGTCATCGCGTGCAGTCGTGCACCGCCGCGCCACAACAGGGCTGGGCACGGCCCAGAGGAGGTCCGGGCCTCCCCCCTAACCCTAATTTCGTCAAACCATGCCAGGTCGCATCGGAAAGAAGAAGCGGCGCTCGAAGCTTTCGGAAAGGTCTAAGGACCTTCGCCAAGCTTCCAAGCAAGCCAAAGCGGCTTCCATCGGTACTCCCGATGAGCGCAAAGCGCACGCCGTCGCTAAGCAGCGTGCCACCGTAGTTCGCTGGGATCCGCTGTCTTTAGTAGATGAGCAGAGTAGCTGGGATGTGGGATCCTGGTGGGATCAGTTAGCGATCCCCGATCCCATCCCATATGTCGGGGAGCCCGAGCCCTATGTCGGGGATACTTACGTCCCCACTGGTTTGGTGTACGTCCAAGAGCCGAAGTAAAAAGGTAATTGTTACTTACAAACTTAATTTACATTTTACTTACATCCCATCCCATCCCAATTACATCCCATCCCTCGCCGTCGGCCGGAGCTTCCGGAGGCCGAACTCGCGGTCGTATCCAAACTTGGCGATCCGCCCGGGATCCTGGATCCCAAACTTCTCCTTTTCGATGAGGTTGTGCCCGTTGTGCGCAAGGATCTTCATCACAATCTCGCCCTTACTCATAGTCGACGGCGGGTAATCCCCGCGTTCTGCGCGCCTCACACTCAGTTTTCACCTCGCGCGCGGCCGACAAAGTGAGCGCACGACCACCTCCCCCTCGCTCCTGTAGGTGGGCCGCCCCGCGCTGGCGGGAAGAGGCGCGCCGAGCCATCGGTGACGTCCTGGCGAGCTCATGTCCCCCCAAAAGGTCGCACCCGCCCGTGGCTCCGCCGTCGGCTCCGCCGCGAGCGGCGACGGTGAGGCCGCCGGGGCTCGCCTATACCGGCTAGTGTGGAGCTCTCAGTGTAGGCGTGTTGTACTAGTGATGCTGCACTAGGCGGCCCGTTTTTAGCAAAAACCAGATACCACATCGCGTGTGGTCGTCGCAAAACCGCATCTTCGCCCGTCTGGGACCTCTTCGTACGGCTCCAAAAACCGCTCCTTAACGAAGACTACGCGGCCCGGCGGTCGATCTGCGCCTTCTCAGCGGTGGAGGGGATGTGGGCGGTACGTGCGTACCGCGTGGTGTTGCGACGGTTTGACGAGTGCGACTCCCAGCGTCGACTTTTCGACCCCACGGAGCCTCTGCTGCTCTGGGGGGGGGGGTCTGCAGACCACCCGGCCGAACTTCAGAGTGGCGGTGCTCCTCAAATACCGCTCAAACGCCCACGATATTGTGGAGGGGACATATGCTGATGATCCTGGCCCGATTGGTTCGCTCAGAAAGCTTCTGGGCGGTCGTTAAGGTTCGCTCCCCGCACACCGGCCCCGGAATAAGTTACATCATATCTCGGGTCGGTCTTGGGCGGGTCGGTCTCGCATTCTGCTACAAGATTGAGGCGGTGCTCGGCATGCGCTGCTGTGATCCCGAGCAGCTCATTGCAAAGAAGCGGCGCAAACCAATAAGCTGGCCGCTGCCGACGAGACAATTTGTTACCTCACGCGCGGCACTTTCAAAGAGGACCAGCACGACACAGGCTTCACCGACACACGCTGGGTCGAGCTCGAGGAGCTGTACGAGAAGTGCGGCGGCAAGGCAGCGGCCCGCAGGCCAGCGCTATTACCTCTCCCTACAGGCGTGTGTGTGTGGGGGGGGGGTACCTAGTCTCCAGCGGGTGCAGTCCTCCCGCTTCCCATGCGTGTGCATCGGTTTGTTTGTCGCTGGTGAAGAAACTCACGGCGCGGGCTCTCTCGGCTACGGGACCGGCCCCAGCTTCGGCTGAGGGCTAACAAGCTGCCGAGCCCAAATCACTGTGAGAGTCGTGATTTCTTGTTGGTTAATAAAAATCTCTCTCTCGCTGGTGCTACCTAAACCACATCTCCGGAAAAAATCGATTAGAAAAAAAAGGAGCTTCATGGCTTGCATCAAGTGTGCTCGATCCGGCAAAGGCAAAGCTTCAGCTGGTTTCATGCCGCCTACGGCACAGCATCTGGCTCGCAGCCTGCAGCGCTCCTTGCCATGCGCGAGCCCTACCTCACCACTATCGCCAAGGTCTTTCGTCCACAACCCTTACTCAACCTGTCGGAGTGCCACCCGTGCGCCACCAAGCTGCCCAAGGTTGACAGGGTTGGCGACCGGCGGAGGTACTTTGAGTTGGCTGACGTTTGCACAAAGGGCGACTCCGACCGCCTCCACCAGCTGCTCCTGCAGACGCGAGGAGGTGTCCCTCAGACGCACGACCCGACGCCGCTCGTCCTGGCGGTAATCTATGAGCACGACGCCTGCGCGCTGCTGCTGATTGCGTGGGGCTCCTGCCTGAACGTGCGCTGCGGCCCCGATCTCGAGACGGCGCTGCACGTGAGCTGCGCTCGCGGCAACGTCGAGATTACCAAGGCCCTGCTCGAAGCGAACGCGGACCACCGCGCGGTCGACGCGCATGGCCGCTCGCCCCTCCTCATCGCCTGCCTCACCGACCAGCCTGCGTGCGCCTCGCTCCTGCTCGAGTCGGGTGCCGATGCTGAGCAGCCCATGGCCGGCGACAATCCGGGGGCGACGCCGCTCTACGCCGCCGCGTGCGCCGGCTCGCAGCCTGCAATGGAGACACTACTCCACAGACGCCAGCGCGTCACCACCCCGCTGACGTCAAAATAGGCTCTTTGAGATGCGCCTCGCTGCTGTGCGAGGCTGGCGCTCGAGTCAACGCGCGCACGAAGAATGGTGCCTCGCCGATGCTGGTCGCCTCGCAGGACGGCCACCTTCATGTGGCGATGCTCCTCTCCTCGTACGGCGCAGAGCGCGGGCCTGACTACCTGGACGGTCCCTGAGAACGTCTCGTCGTGATGCCCCCTCCGAGGCGGACGTGTCCGTGACACGTCCATGTCCCCCACAGACACCGGCGTCGTTGTGATGCCCTCCGAGGCGGAGCGCCTTGCGCGCGAGTCGGGCAACAAGGAGCTCCACCTGTGGATCAAGTCGTCGTACCGCTACTCGGCAGCCCGCGGCCCGCACCAGCCTCCTCCTCCTCCCCACCCGCCCCACGCCCTCCTCCGCCTCCTCACCCCTCCCGTCGGCTGCCCTGCTGCAGGCCCTGCACCACGTGCGCGTCCTCACGCCGCAGCGCGCCATTGGGCTGCTCCGGGCCGGCTGCTCGCCGCACGCGCGGCCCGTGCGGGCGGGGCCGGTGGCGGCGTGGACGGAGGTGCGCGACTGGCCCGAGGGCGCCGCCTCGCCCGACGCCATGTTCCAGTCGCCCGCCGAACTCGCACGCGAGCACGAGCACGACCCGCGCGTCCCCGCCGCCAGGATCATCCTGCGCGCGGCGGAGCCGTGGTCACCCGACACGCACCAGCTCTGGGGCGCGAGACTAGCCGAGACCCGCCGAGACTCGCCGGTCGCCCCCTCCGACACACACCAGCCTTTCGAGGCGGCGCGAGCACGCGCATGCGACCTGTGAGCAGTGTCTCTCTTCACACCGCCGACCCGTCGTCAGGCGCGAGGCAGCGCGAGCACGCCGTGCAGCTCTATCTGATTGGCTACCAGCTGGCGGCCAAGACGTCCGGCTCGCAGCAGGGAGGCTTCGTCGACGCGTGGCTCGACTGCGTCATGCCGCTCGCCGTGAGCTGGTCGAGCTGCCAGGCGTGCGCGCCGGCACCCGACGGCGGCGAGCCGCGCCTCAAGCCCCCCTCGTCAACGCGGCGCTGCACGTCGCCCCTCGACCGCCGCCACTCGCGCGGGTCTCGCCGGCTGCACCGCGCCCGCCGCGAGGGAGCGCAGTGAGGCGTCTCCGGCCGTCCCGGCCGGGTGTCCGTCGCGCCCCGACGCCCCTGCCCCCGCCGACCAGATGCGCGGGGCGCGCCTTCAGCACGTGTAGAGGCGGCGTAGGACAGTGTCATCTCCCTCCTCTCTCTAACAAGGTGTTTTCTAGAGTCAATTAACCCCTCAGGCTCAGCCCCTGAATTCACACTTTACCTAGTTTAGTGCGCTATTTAGTGCGTGTTCGAGTGCGTATATAGTGCGACTTTAGCGCAAATTTAGCACATATTTAGCCATATTTAGTGTGTTTTATCTCCAATTTAGCGCCACACATTTAGTTCACTTTAGGTGGTAGGTGCGGGCAGCTGCAGTACATTTAGTGTGGGTCCGCATCTTTATTGCAGGCACGCAACTTTAGCACGGCTACCCAGCCACACCACAGCTAGCCAGGGCCGCGTGCTTTGCTCCTTGGCTGCCAAGAACGCACCACAGGAGATGCCTGGCCCCTGCCCTCATGGCCGAAAGGCAGGCTCCCAGTCGATTCCTGGGAGATATATTGCTCCCGCTGCCTTTTGGCACAGCGCGTTATGCCTCGCGCGGATGCTCTGGGACGCCTGGGGCGCGGCGGCACAGTGGTATCCCGCCTGGATGATCTCCGACCTCGCCTCATCGAGCGACACATCGAGCACGTCCTTGGAGAATACGTACGTGTTGCCGTTCGGATCGGGGATCCCCAACGGGGCGCTTACGAGCAGTGAGTCGCCCGTGGGCGCGTCGCTGGCATTCGTGTCGGCGGCCTGGGAGGCGGGGTCGGCGCTGACAGACTCGCTGGCGCGGAGCTCCACGGGCGTGCAACCGCCGTCGAAGGAGGCGGCGAGGTTGGCCCGGTCCGCGGGCGCCACGCAGCAGGTCGCTTCGGCGGCGACGGGGCTCACAATGTACCTAGCACACACAAGCAGAAGACGCCGTTTGCGCCTGCCTCGGGTCGGGGCCGAGGGCCGGGCGGGGCGCACTGCAGGGTGCTCGGTGGCGGCGTCTGCGGGCTGACGATGCCATCGGTCTGGGTGCAGGTGGGGCAAACGTCGCAGACGTGGTGCCCGCTGCCGCCCAGCAGGGCATCGGTGTCGCGCCAGCCGCCCGAGCCGATCACGAAGCCGAGCCCCTTCTCACTCATCCGCGTGCCGTTGAATTGGCACCTGCGGTGGGCGTGGGATCGTCAGCAAGGCCATGCATCGGCTACTCTATCTTGGCATCTTCACGGAGCGACACCCAGGCTCACATCTCTCCTCCCATCTCCGCCTCACCTCCTCCACATCTCCACCACATCTCCGCCACTACTGTGCTCTTCTCCGCCAGCCGAATGCGGACCGGATCGCCATCGTGAAGCTCCAGCACGTGGCGGCGATCTGGTTGCTGTAGCTCACAAACGAGGCGGGGTCACCGTTGGGCATGTCAAACGAGCCCGCGAACCAGACGTCGTCATACTCGCCGGTGGACCGCAGCCCGACCAGCTCAAAATCCTCCGATGGCGTGGTGAACACGTCGTATGAAGATATGCCGCCATGGCCGTTCTCGCCTGTGGCGCGTGCAGGAGCTCAGCCGGCGCCGGTGTAGGGCCAGGGCCGGCGCAGATCTGGCAATGGAAGGCGCGGCGGGGCAGGCCCAACGCACGGAACGAGAGGTCGCCAAAGAGAGTGCTTCCCGGTCCGCCTCGGTCAGCACGCAGTGTTGTGAGGGAGGCGTTGAACACGTCCGCACCCCGCTCGACCAGGTCGAGGCTTTTCCAGCGCTCTCCGAGGATGTACGATTCGGCCACAGGCGGCACCACGTCCGACCCTGGAATGATGGCTCCAAAGCGAGGGAGCGGCGGCGCCGGCGCCGGAGTGGGAGGTTCGCCCGCGAAAGAGGCGAACTCGATGTCGCGCCGCGGGTTTGCGTCCACGGGCGCCGATGGCGCCTGCACAGCCGCGCAGAGGAGCAGGCCCGTGCGGAGGAGCGCGGGCATGGTGGGCAAATACGGCGCGGAACCCGCGTTCTCGAAGGAAAAGGAGATTAGTCGAGATTAGCGCCCGCCGTCTTCTGAAAAAAGGGTAGAGGGGGGAGCCTTTGAGCCTTGGCACCAGCCAGCTTTTGGTATAATATAAAAAGAATTTAAACAATAAAAAGAAGTTGCCGGATATCCGACGGTTTCACCTCGCCAGTAATGGTGGCGGCGCCCGTGACGGGGAGCGACGCCGCTTGGCTCCAGGCCAATGTTGGTGACGTGCTCGCACGCGGCATGGCAAAGGTGGTGGAGACCCAGCCGGACGACCCGGTTGCCTGCCTCGCATCCTTCCTCCTCTCCTCCCATGCCTCAGAGCGTGCAGCGGCCAATGCGGTGAGATACGCTCAAGACATGGGCACTAAGTCCTCTACACCACTCTGCCACACCTCCGTAAATGCCTGGTAGCAAGCTCGGCTAGGCCGCCTCGAGACCCTTGTTGTCGTACGTAGGCGGAGGCGGAGCGGGTAGCGAGGGAGAGAGAGGTGATGCGGAAGGAGAAGGTGGCGGTGGAGTTGAGAATGGAGGCCAAGCGCGCGGCGGCCGAGCAGGCGCGTGGCATCGCACCGTGCCTCTCGCCCGTGGGGTCTCACAGCCTGCCATGTCTGAGTCCCGTAGGCTGAGAGCGACGCGCTCGAGGCGAAACTGAATGGGGCGCTCGCGGAGGTGAGCACGGCGGACCAAGCGCTCGATTGCGTCATCGAGTACGTCGGCGCCAAGACCAAGTCCACAGCATATGTAGCACTGACGGACCTGCCCTCCAAGGCGGTGGCAGAGGCGCCAGCAGAGTCGTCGGAGCCCGAAGAACCGCCGGAGTCCACAGAGGCACCGGAGGGCGAGGCATCGGCTGCCGAGCTAGCTGGAGAGGGGGAGGAGGGCGGCGAGGGCAGCACGGAGAGCGTTCCCAAGCCGAAGCATATCCCAAACCTCCTCAGCTACGCGGGCGCATTGAGCGGCAAGGCCCTCTCGCGGCCGGCGGCACCGGAGGAGGAGGGAGAGGCGGCGGATGCGGCGCCGCTGCGCGGATGCGGCGAGGGCGTCTCCTTTGACGCCGTTGACGCCTTTCTGGAGGGCGGCGCCCGTTCGCTTCTCGTCAAGAGTGCGTTTTTGAATCGATCGGTCAAGTTCTGGGGGGCACCCCGGCCCGGCGACCTAGCAATTGCTCCGTTTGTGCTGCCCTTAGATGCTGCAGTAGTCTCCCGGCCCGCAATCGCACCATTTGCAATCGCACCATTTGTCGCTGCAGTAGTCTCCAAGCAGCCTCGCCAGACATGATGTCCGCTCCTCCCGTCACCGCTCTCGCCGTTTGCCCTCCTCCACAGTCCGACGAGGATGGCGACGTGGTGGGGGTCCTGTACGCCGACTCTCTCGACAACGGAGGCGGCTTGCCCAAAGAGGTGCCCTCTCCACCCCAAGAGCGGATGCCCCTCTGACGCCACAAATGACTCGGCCACGCCACGCTCGTATACAGACAGCAAGCGTTCTGGAGGCGGTTGGAGTTAAGCTGGCGGCGGCGCTGAAGCGGGTCTGGAAGGAGGAGGCGGAGGCGGCGGCCCGTGCGGCAGCGCGCCAGGCGGCCGCCGTGGAAGCGATCCGCAGGTTTTGCGGTGGACTGCTTGAAGGGAGCGCCTCGGATGATGCCACACCTGACTGTGTGGTCGGGCTGGCGAGCGCGTCGCCACAGCCCCTCGCAGAGCACCTCGTGCTGTGCAAGTCGATGATCGTGGCTTACCCAGGCAACCTCAGTGCTATAAGCTCTTGACAGCCAGCTGTCGCTGCCCCTCCCTCTACACCGCCCCCTCCGTCCACGCCCCCTCCCTCCACGCCTCTCCTCCACCACCACCCCCTTAGACCAACCTGGCCCACCCCTCGCAGATTGGAAGGTCGCGTGCCTCGGCGTCGAAAGGGCGGCAGAGGAGGGGACCTACACAGTCCTGACGCAGCAACGCCCAGGGGTGTGCTGCCCATCCGACCACTGCTGCCGCACGCGCAGCATCGGCCCAATCCTACCCCGCTGCTGCTGCCGCACTATCACCTCCATTCCCTCCGTGTCCTTAGGTCATGAAGGCCGATTTGGAGGCGACTGGCTTCCCAACCGTCTCGCTCGAATCTTTGGAGGATGAAGCCAAGGAGGCGGAGGTGGTTTTCCCTGTGGAGCGGGTGCGATCGCTCTCTCTCCTCCCCGCCCCCCACCTCGCCCCATCCGCTCACCGTTCAGACCACAGCCCCCCAACTCGCTCCATCTGCACCCACGAAAATGGCTGGTATGTTCACAGCCATAACGCGTCCAGCTGCATGTCTCCAGGGCCTCTTCAAGGTAGCGGAGGACGGCAAGGTGTCGAGCTGCGTCTACATGGGGGAGACGGCGAGCGAGGTGGAGGGCGAAGAGGCTCCAACCGCGACGCTGGTCGACTCGTGGGCGGCGGGTACGGTAGGACTTGCGGCGCTCTTCAAGCACATGGGCGTGGAGCTCGCGCAGCACATTGAGGCTGACGCCCCACAGACCACCGAAGTTAGCGCTGCCGCGGAGGCAGAGACCGAGGAGAGCGCTGCCGCGGAGGCAGAGACCGAGGAGAGCGCCGCCGCCGCCGCACAGTCGACGGAGCCCTCGGCCGAGGCGGCTGAGGAGGCGGCTGAGGAGGCGGAGGATAAGCAGGAGGAGTAGAGGACGAAATATGTGAGTGCCACCGACCTCCACCGTGCTCGCAACACCGCGCACAGCTCTCTCACTCTCTGATGACCCGTGTGGCTGCGCTGAGTTGGGCGTGTGTCGCACTGTGAGTGAGTTTAGGAATGTGGCTCTCCACGCCAGCACCATCGAGTGGGAGGGCCAGCGCAGGCGCGCCCGGCGCGCGTTAGAGAGACCCGGACGCCCGCGGGGGTGGGGCGTGGGGGTGGGGCGTGGGGGGCCGTGAGCAACGAGCAGCAGAGAGTCAGAGGGGGGGGAGGGGGGTGCGTGTCTCGCGTGTGCGTCCGATGTGCGCTCATCTCCCAAAGCAACAAGCATCATGACAAGAACACAGACGGGGATAGCTGAAAGCGACAGACTACTTTACTTTAACCTGGCCGCGTCCACCGCTCTTACTTTACCTAACCGTCACCCCCGGCCGCCCCCAGGCCCCTCCACGCCAGGTTCTCGATCAATCCCCTGCCAGGTCCTGCGCTCCGAGGGCGATGTCCGATGCGGGGCAAGCCCATCGTGTTGTGGTATAGCTTGTGCCGATCACGAGGTAGCCACATGTGGGCTACGACCGCTGCTCCTTGACCGACGACGCACGCTTGAGACCCATCGCCATCTTGTCTGCGTACCTGTGGTGACGCGTGGGCAACGCGCGGAGGTGTTGATCAGGGACGTCACAGAAGACGCCGTGCCCGAGGCGACGGAGAGGGGCTTTTGTCGCAGTCGGTGTCGAAAACTGTGAGGCGAGGCGCCGTCCAGGAGGGGGGAAACGGCGCGGTATTGGCATTCTGGGGGGGGGGGGGGGGGTCCT